TAATAAAATGTAAAGATTGAGGATGATTTCAATGTTACCAAAAATAGTAATAATACTTAGATACAAATCTGGATAGGGGCACAAAATTTATGTCTGCAGTATCATATGTGCAACACCAAAACCTGAAGAATTAGGAAAATTGACGATGCAAAAAGGATATTTTCTAGAACATCACGGATTGGTAAAAAAAAGTTAAATTAGGGAATGCTTATATAGTTGTAAATATATCTAACATATCGCACAGGAATAATTTTTGCAGAAACGTTCAAGCATGAGAAAGAGGCACCCTTACTCATGGTCAAATTCTATCACCTGGAAACTCTCCTAAAAATAAGGTCTGAAGATTATAACTCCTCTGAAAGTATGCATGTTAGCATGTTAGCATTCAAGATTATTCCTTCACTTTAAAGTGACCAACTAATCAGACAGAAACCTACAGATTTCAACATGAAACTCAGTCATAAATTTAATGGTGATAGACTGACAGGGAAATTAGATCTTTGTCGTATTTGAACTGAGACTTTCTGCAAAAAATACAGTATAAACAATTGTGATTTGAACTGTTGGCTGAGTCCAGGGCACTGTACTTTTGTAAGAATTCTCAACTCACAATACAGAAACAAAACATTTGATTAACATCAACAAGTCTATCTTTCTACTTTCTATCAGATGCATAAGAGTCATAATACCTTAAACTTTGTAATCTCAACAGTAAGCACTCTAGCAACCAAATAATGTAAGACTTTCCTTCGACAAATACAAAATATCATAAAAAAATTATCACAGAAAAAGTGAGGTTCATTTTCTGGTCCTAGTACTTACATGACAGATGTTGCAGATTTGCTAAATATCAGTTTGTAATTAATTTTCAAACCCTTGACTGCAAACTCAAACATCAATGAGGTATACTTGCACACAACACCAATCATCAGTATTTCACTGCATTGGTATTGGTAAGTGGTAACTCATTTGAACATTTGTTATAATAATATTAGCTATTGCTATTCCCAGAAAAAGAGGTGTTTGAAAGAATCAAATGTTTTGTAAAACATATGAAAAAATTTGTTAATTTTAAAAAACAAAAACATAAAAAACAAGAACACTTGTTATCATTTTAGACTTTTCAAATCTTCAGTGGAATCCTAGAGTGTGAATTCCCAGCAGTTATAAATGGCAAATAATATTGAAATTATTTGACGATTATGGAAGATAAAAATAGTAATACATTTGACAGGCTTACAACATAACGAATACATCCACATTTTTCAGTTGGCAACATTCCTCCATTTACAGCTCTATGGTAAGGTACACAAATTAAAATAAGTGCAAAAGAAGTGTGTAACCATTTGTAAAAATACACAAAGATTAGGTAGGACACCAAACTTGCCTATGCTAATTGGTCTCAATTTCCTAACAAGAGAAAGTAGTTTAGCAGGATTGGTAATGAATAGAAAATTTGACAAGCCAACAGGAAAGAGTTGAATTCATGTCAATTTTCTTTTTGTTTTAAGAAAACATTCTTTAAATTGCCCTGATTTCAACTCAAATATTTTTTAGATTATATTCACAAACAGTTTGAAGTATTTCTACCTTCCGCCAGACAAAATCTATGTTCATAACAATGGATATGAATAGTGCATTAATCAAAGAGCTGCTCAAAGAACAGACTAGGCTGAAATGAGGTCGTGTTGAACGGTTCAGTCCATTGAGATCAACCAAGCATATATTTTTGGAGGGTGTGTCACACTGAATGTATCAGGTCAAAATGTCCTGGAGTGGGTACTTAGTTACTACATCTCCACAATAGCAGCTATTAACATGTGATGTCAACATAATCACAATACAGTTCATTTTTGTAAACTCACTACTCACACAATCAACAACACATGCAATAAATCTTTAATATACACATATATTCTCATACACAATCAAACATTACCTTCAGCCTTTTCCATTTTGCTCTAATTTCTTGAATCACCATGATTATCATCGTTCTCCATCAACATCAACATTTTTGTACATCTGTTATCACAGCACTACCATATCAGTCGGC